ATTCTTTCATTGCATAATGGAACTGATGATGGTGCTGATTTCTCAGCGGTACCTTTTAGAGGCATAACACCTTGAAAATCACTCCCTTATCCTTGCTACCAGTGATTTGCCATCTAACATGTGGGAAAAATAGTAAAGGTGAAAACTATTTACCTGTCAAGCTAATGCCACAAAAAACACCATCAAAGTAGGCACCCGGTTGGATTGAGTAGCATCATTCTAGAGACAGCAATGCTCCCCAAAGATGGGCTGTAGCATCGGGATTTAGGGACGAGGAATGTGGCTAGCTCTCCAAATGGTTTTCAACCAAGGCTATGCTTCATTTTCTCCAGTAATTGCATGACTAAAAACTTAGTGACTATGAGAGATTTAGTGTTTTGTTTTGTTTTTTTGTTTTTTTTTTTTTTGAAGAGACAGGGTCTCACTCTATCACCCAGGCTGGAGTGCAGTGGTGCCATCACAGCTCACTGCAGCCTCGAACTCCTGGGCTCAAGCGATCCTCCTGTTTCAGCTTTCCCAAATAGCTGGGACTATAAGCCTGCACCACGATGCCTAGCTAATTTTTTTGTAGGGGTCTCAATATGTTGCCCAGGCTGGTCTTGAAATCCTGGCCTCAAGTGATCCTCCCACCTTGGCCTCCCAAAGTGCTGGGATTACAGGTGTGAGCCACCATGCCCAGCCAGATTTAGTCTTTTAGTCAGGCTTTAGGAGGTTAGGTTTATGATTATTAAAGATAGGGTCTAGGATAGTTCATGGGAAAGCAGTAGAAAAGGGGAAAATCCTCTTAATTCTTACCCATGCATTAATAATAAAGTCAAGAGTGAATGGAAAGCCATTCTCCTGGGAATAATTGATCCTAGTTGTTTATCCTCCCTTAGGTGCTGCTTTTAGCCCAGAGCTACAGAAAAGGAACAGTCTGGCAGAAATCATCACTGATGGCTACCTTCGTTCATCACTTTGGTCACTTACATTCATTGAGCACTCACTATAGGTGAGGCACTGGGGACATAATGATGAGCAAAAGACATCATTTTGATGCTTGTCTTTTTCTGCTCGAACCTAGTTTTATTCCATTTCCTTGTTGCCTTCCTTCTTCTCCCACTACCCCCCAACCCCAGCTCTATAGTTCTGCTTCCTGACCATTTGTACCATTTGTGGCAAGATATTGAGAAGATGAATTACTGGTATAGCAAAACATTCCACCTCCATCTATTCAATCCACACTCTCCTTCAAGATATGATAAGCCCTAAGTCTTCCTTCATATGCTGCGTATCCCTTCATATCCCTTCCTGGGGATGGTCCTGCCAGGCCAGTGGTTGTGAACATTATATGAGTTAGACTATAAACTTGGTCTCCACACAAATTCCTTCCCCTGAACGAGTTTGCTTTAAAGCACAATGTCCTGTAGTGAGCCTTGTGGTTTAACTACCTTTCTCCTTTCTTCCTGATTCCTTGAGGAACTCCCAGTTCCCTTGTTGTCAGCCACATGGTTTGAGTGTTGACCCCACTTCTAGCTCGGGGGAAGAACCTTGGTTTGCATGGGCCAACCACATTCTGGAGTTTAAGACAATGTGTGGCATGACAAGTCCAATCAGGTCTGTGCAGGATATTCATGTTTAACTTTCCAATCAGAGTGAACCCAAGGATTTCTTCTGGGAATTCTGGGACACTATAGCTCTCTTCTTTGTGGGGCTTGGCAGCATGAGGTTGTGAGGCTCAGGACTGCCTTTGCCGTGATGGATGAGCCCAGAATTTCCTGGGACCACTGCTGAAAGCCTGAGGGTGGTCTTCCAAGAGGAAGCAGAGATGGAAAATGGAACTAGGATACCTTGTGTGGGTCCTGAATCAATACTTCCTCTGAATTATTCTGTTAAGTGAGCTAATAACTCTACCACCCCCTTTAAAAATGCCAATTCGAGTTTCGTTTTCTGTCCATTACAAAAAAGAAACCTACTCTTAGGCGAGTGGAGCTTCCCAAGTGGTGTGCCATGGTGCACCCATGGTGCTGGGTTATAGATACTCCTTGATGCTGATCACCTTAGCCCTCTAAGGGAGGGACTCGGGACAGCCAGAGCTCCAGAACTGGTCATTTCTAGAAGCAAGTAGCCTTATCCATTTACCCCAGTGAGATAACAAATAAAAATGTTTAATATGCCCCATCATGGCAATTTTAAAATACATTCAAATATGCTTCAAACAATTTTCATTCAAAATGTAGAGCCTGTTTTCCTTCCTCTTGAATGTGGGCTGAACTTGGAGACTTGCTTCTAAACAGTAGAATATGGCAGACATGAGGGTGTATGGCTTCTGAGGCTAGGTCATAAAAGACATTGCCACTTTTGCCTTGCTTTTCTGAATCATTCAACCTTGGGAAAATCAGCTGCCATGTCATGAGGACACTCAGCAGTCTGGGGAGAAGTCCACATGGAGCAGACTGAGGCCTCCATCAATAGCCATCACAACTTTCCAGTGATGTGAATAAGCCACCATGGAACAGAGTCCCTTAGACTCAGTCATGCCTTGAGATGGGGAAGCATTTTCTTAAGCCCCAAAAGGAATACACAGGAGTCATACTCTGTATGTACCCAGTATTCTGGGGATATATTTAGAAACTTTAGGGTTTTTTTTTGTTGTTTTTGCAAAATGATAATCAATAGTAGCTTTTACAAGATAATAAGCATTTAAAAATACATTCAAAACAAAGGTTCCCTGTCTTTGAAAACAAACTTGCAACCACAATTGCCAATGACAGCTCTAAAAGTTTGTTTTCTTTTTAAAACAAATCTGTTGTTATGGAAAGCACTACTTACAGAACAGAATTCTGGAGTTTAAGACAATGTGTGGCATGACAAGCCCAATCAAGTCTATGCAGTATATTCATGTTTAATTTTCCTGAGATTCTTATGTGATAGTGACAATTGCACCCTTGACCTTGCTAAAGGAGGGGAGGCATGAAGCTAATCAGAAGATTCTCTAATAAGCTCTCATAGAAGGATTTTCCAAAGTAAAATCAAGAAGGCTATCATGGTCTATCAGTTTTCTCTAATTTTCAGGAAACAAAAGACCTAATTTGCTTTACTTTTAGGAATGTTTAAAATACTTCTTTTCTAATCCCATATTTAGAATACAAAATCAGAGGACCAATGCCCAAGTTCTTTGTTTATGCCATTACTTTAAAAAGTGGAGTCATGCCCCCACTTAACTATCTGGAATTGAGAAAAGAGCCAGGAGTTAGCCCAGAAAGAGTCTGAACTGCTAATATGGATGAGTCTATACTCACCAATTCCACGAGTTTCTCTCCTAGGTAAGCCCACAGGGCTCTCAATCAGAATTCTGTCATTCTTACTTTAGACTCAGTTCCAACTTCTTTGGTTATCTATATTCTGAGCCCACAGATCAGAGGCATCTAGTTAGAAAAGTTGGATGCTTCTAGAATGGCACTGTCCAATATGGTAGCCAGTAGCCCCATGTGGCTGTTAAGCACTTGAAAAAATGTGGCTAGTCCTAATTGAGATGTGCTCTAAGTATAAACTATGCAGCAGATTTCAAAGACTTAGTATTAAAAAAGAATATGAAATGTCTCAATAATCTTTAATATTGATGACACGTTGAAATAATATTTTGTATGTATTGAGTTAAATAAAATATATTATAATTGTAAAGTTAACTCTACTGGTTTCTTTTCATGATCATTTTTTAATGTATCTACTAGAATTTTAAAAATCATATATGTGGCTTGCATTATATTTTTATTGGGCATTGTTCTTCTAGAAGAAGGCCTACTCACATTTTATTCATTCATTTAGTCAATTAACACATTTTTTTCACCTTTTTTTTTTTTTTTTTTTTTTTGGAGACAGGGTCTTGCTCTGATGCCCAGGATAAAGTGCAGTGGCATCATCATGGCTCACTGTAACCTCAATCTCCTGAGCTCAAGCAATCCTCCTACTTTAGCTTCCCGAGTAGCTAGGACCACAGGCACACGCCACCATGCTGACCTAATTTTTAATTTTTTTTGTAAAGATGAGGTCTTGATATGTTGTCCAGGCTGGTCTTGAACTCCTGGCCTCAAGCTATCCTCCCTGCAAAGCACTGGGATTACAGGCATGAGCCACCATGCCCAACTCAACAAATACTGAGGGTCTTCTATGTGTTGAGCACAGGGTTAGAGAAGAAGAATGCCTCAATGAACATAGTTCCTGCACTCACGAAGCACGTGCACCCACTGTGGTACAAGAGAGACTGGAAAAGAAAAAAAAAACCCAAAACCCAAATTGACACAGGTATCTAAAAGCAGGGATCATTTAGTCAGGAATATCCTAGAATATTAGGGCTGTTAGAATTAAAAGCCAGCCTTATATAAATTAGTGCCTAATCCTTTTTGTTTTAGGGCAGAATCTAAGATAAAAAGTGTTGATAATGATGGCCATCCTTGAGCCACTCTGGAAAGATGACATGCTATAGGCTCTTTTCTAGTCTGTTTTGCACTGTGGCTACATGTACATATGTATGGTCTTCCTCACTAAACAGAGAGGCTTTGCAGGGCAGTGACGTTTTTTGACCTTGGTCTCACCCAGTGTCTCCCACACAGAAGGTGCTAAATACATATGGAATTAAAGTATGTCACGTGTATTCATTTAAGAAAGCAATTAGGTTTATAATATACTTTACAAAGAGTTCTTCCCCAAATGCCTAAAAAATAAATGTTGGGCATGTAAATTAGTAAGCTTTAATTATTATTATTTTTTTAAAAAATCCTTTCCGCATACAAATTCATGCATACCTGATAGTATAAACAAAAGTTCTAGAATATCCAAACTAAATTCTCTCTTATGACCACCAAGGTTAGATATGGCATAAAAAGTACCCCTTTGGACAGTACTATATGACCAAAGCCACTACTATGCATCTTTCTTCTTCTCTGAAGTGCTTTGCAAAATATTAAGCATTGTCAAAACAAAACAAAACACAAAACACGAGTTGCAAAGGGAAATATTTTGCTTGCAATTCTTATTACATTTTTAGATCAGTCAAGGTCATCTGTATATTAAAAATATATAATTTAATTCTCAGATAATAACTTTGTTCATCTTTCTCTTAAAGTACATTGTCAAGAGAATTCAAAGCTGAATATATTTTGTAGCTGATGTACATCTGCTGACAACACAATGTTCTGAAATGAAAACAGAGATATTAGTCTTTCATAAAAATAAACTTGGTCCCAGAGAGGAGGAAAAGAGAGAGTAAGAGCAAGCATAAGAAAAAAACCAAAGCATTATGCAAGAATTGTTTCCATTTAAATGAATGCGGTATCCATGATTTTTGGCTGACTGTCCAAGTACCATGTATCTCCTAAATCAGTGCTTTGAGTATGTTCCTCTATAAATGCATGTTAAATTAAATTATAGTAAAGCAAAAATAACTATACAACACTTAACCACCATTACTGAAAGGGTAACAAGTTCACAAATAATCGATCGACCAAATTTCCAACCACAATGATTTTTAGAATTTTAGTAAGTCTTCCCCTTATAGATTTATTAAAAACGTTTCCCACTCCTACAAGTTCACCTTCCCTTCCCACAAAGAGTGAAGTTCACTTTGAATAGGTTGGTGAACAGTTTTTTCATTTTTCTTTGGGCAGTTTGAGCTTATCCTGTAAATTCAAATATAAGCCAGAGGAAGTCACCTCTCTCAGATGGACAGTGGCTGACCAGTCAGCAGGAGAAGCTGCTTATGCCTTGTTTTGTACGACACTGTGAAAATACACACTTTAATAAATACACAGATCCTCCGCCTGCCTCCCTTCCCTCTGTAGGGCCAAAATCTGGTCAGAGTCCACCTGGGTGTAATTCCATGGCTCCTTGGATCCCGAAGCTTTCAGAGTGCTGGTGGTTCAGGGAGCCCGTGGTTGGTCCCGGGTTGCAAATGTCTTATGTTTTAAGTGCCAGTGAGTCCTTCTCCAGGGTCGCAGGGCCTCAGTCTCCATGCGTGGAGATGGCTCTTCTTAGCTGCCCTGTGACAACTGGGTTTCACATTTCCTGAAACTAGATCTGTGGAAGGAGTCCCTGAAATTAGGAGGGAGAGAAAGGGAACACAGAAGTAAGAAAGATCGATGAGCCTTTTAAAGGGAGGGAGTGGGGAAATCACCCAGCAGAAGGGGACATCAGTCATAGAGAAGCAGTCAGTAATAAGTGAGAGGGCTAAGACCCTTCACGCTGTGCCGAAACAAACAGAACAAAACAAAAAAACCAACACAGGCCATCATTTGGCTCTGGGAAGACCACTGGCACAAGACCAACACCCAGGGGTCCGGCGGAGGTCAAAGAGCAGGTCTGGGGAGGACGGAAGCAGAGCAGAGCAAGCTCTGGCCGCCTCTCTGATCCCAGGCCCCACGCCCAGCCCTAGGGGGTCTGCAGCTCTCCTCCTGCAGCAGAGGATGCCCCAGTCTGCTGGGCCTCCGTGCTCTCTTTTGTCCCCCAGGAAGAGGCTTCCTCCACCCTGTTCTTACCTCTTTTGACTCTCAACTCTGAATATCGGCTTGTAGAGTTCTGGAATTTTCCGCTCGATCATTGGCCTAAGGCTCTCTTTCAGCTTGTTGTAATTCTTTTTGAGTTCCTGCTGGTACTCCCTCTGGTCCGCTGTGATAAGACGCCTGTTTTTCTCTACTGCCTCCCCACATCTGAGATGAAAATATCAGGGTGGGGGAAATAAATGAGTTTGAAGTGCTCAGAAATTTGGGAACGATGAACCTGTTTAACATTTTTTTGAGTGCCTTTTAGGGGTGTTTTCAAACTTGGTGGCATATCAGAATCACCTGTGGAGCTTTTAAAAATGCAGATTTCTGGGCCCTACCTCAGACTTAATGAGTCAGAATTGCCAAGGGGTGGCACCCAGAAATCTCTATTTTTGAAAAGTTGCCCAGAGGACAGTAGTGCTGAGATGCTCTGGCTTGCTCTGTGCCAGGCGCTAGGCAAGGAGTTTCATATGCATGAGATGTTTAATTTTCCCAACAACCCAGGAAAGTCGGTATTTATCTCTATTTTGTTCCCGAAGCTCAGAAATGTTAGTATGTTTGCCCAAGATAACGCTGTGAGGAAGTGGTGGATCTAAGATTCAAACTCAAGTAACTGCAGTATAGAACCTGTTATGCTTACAAACAACTCGCTGTGCTTTATGGCAACATGGCAGACCGAGCAGATGCCATCCGGCCCCCTCCTGCTATGTACACATGGAAGTGCAAGGAAAGCACAGCAAACACTTGTTGAAAGAGAAAGGGAAGCACCAGGTGCCAGAAAAGAAGAGAAAAGCCCAAGCCCGAGTGATGGCATGAGCTGGTGCCACGGTAGCTGACACCAGAACCGCCCACTAAGATTTCAGGATTGCATATGGGTCCTAGTGCTTAGGTGGAAGGGATTTCAAAGCCCACACAAGATTGGTGATGTAGGCTTGGCCAGGGCAAAGTGGAATTCTGGATATGTCACCTGCACGCAGTTCAGAGCCTTGAAGGGCTACCACATCTATGAAGAGCGGTTTAGAGAAATGCTGCAAACTGCCCAAAGAGGTGGAATGGAAACTTGCTATCAGCTTAGGGCCTTTCATGGGAAGGAAAGTCACTTTGCAAAACTGAAATTCTAGGCTTTCAGCACACATGGTTAAAAATTTACATTCCTCTACTGTACGTGCTCTAAGGTGAGACATTAACTGAAATACCAGTCCAAGATGACTGAGATCCCTAGGGCTCAGACAAAGCAATGTAAAGCTGCTCTGCAGGAACACTTTCACCATCAGGGCACATGGGCCACCTATAGAAACAGCAACTCCTGCCAAAGATTAGCTCACAATAAAAAATTACAAACCGTACGAGGAAACTAACAGATGTATCAAGCAGAAGAATTAGCCTAGTGAGAATCAGAGATAATAGAACAATGTAAAAACCCAAAGTTAATATCAAGAGGAAATATTAATAAAAGGTATAAAATCCATGATAATAAAACAAATAGGGAATATGAAAAAAGAAACAAGGAAACTTTTAGAAAAGGACCAAATAGAACTTTTAGAAATAAAAATGCAGTCACTAAAAGAGAAAAAGCTCAATGGATTAAATGGTTAAATAATAGACTAGACATAACAGGAGAACTAATAAAATGTATGACAGATCTAAGGAAATCACCACAGAAATTATAAATTAAAAAATGTGGAAAAAAAGTGGTTAAGAGACATGGAGAGTAGATGCCCTACCCACATCTTACAGAATCTCCAAGAGAATGGAAAGTGAAGGAGAGGCAACACTCAAAGAGTTAACGGCTTATCATTTTCCAGAGCTGAGAGGAGATACAAATCCTCTACTGAACAAAAACAGATCTATACCCAGCCCCAGCATGGCGAAACTGCACAGCATTAAAGACAAAGAGGAAATCTTTAAAACTCTTTGTGGTTGTCTGAATTGCAGTCCATTAAACCCAGTGTTTCAGTCTCCTACACAATAATGGTACACACCAAAGAAGAAATTATTAATACCATGTTACTTAAACATGATAAAGTCTTGTCTTTTGTTATATACTCTTCTACCCAAGGGAAGTTACTAATCAACAAACCTGAAAGGGATAGAATAATGGTTGTAACTTAGCTTACTTGCAATAATTAGTCATATTTCTATTATCCTTCAGATGAATAAGATTTGGGTTATCAATATGGCTTAAACTATTTTCCTAATAGTGGTGCTAGATTAGGGTTAAGTTATGGAGATGCCCAGATGTTGTCAGCAAATCCTCCCTGTTAATACTGAGCACGTTTTCAGGATGACAAAGAGGAAGAGGGTGGCATGTAGTGATGGGGCAAGGAAAAGCCACTTGGCCTGGGCAAAAAATCAAACCTGTGACCACAGCATCATCATGGAATTAGCCTGATATGGAAGAAGGACTTGATTTAACTCACCCAGAGACCAAAGAACTCCCTTAACTGGATTTTCACCTATCTTTTAAGTTTGGCATTAATTGAAGCAAATTACAGGATACCTGAAGTTATATATCAAAGGTTTTAGGGAAGACCAGAAGGGGAAGTGTACAGGCTTTGAATCCTGAGAAATCCATATCACCCCTTATTATTTTTTTATTGCTTCTTAACTAATAGTTATGAGTACCACTACGTATAAAATAAAATCAGTTTCAGGATGACTTCAAGGCCAAGGTTTGTAACACTGACAGACTACAGGAGGGGGAACGAGGTCTGCAGAAGCTAACTGCTAATTTGGGGATGTCTACTCTGACAACTTCGGCAGAATTAACTAAACTCTCTGTAGTTTTTGTTTGTAGAAATAGTGGTAGCTAGCTAACATACACTGATTGCTTACCATGTGCCCAAGACTGGGTTAAATGCTTTACGTGCAGACAGAACGAGTGTTGAAACCAGCTGCTACTCATTAGCATGATGAAGTCACCATTAAAATCCTCAATTTTCTCATCTGTACAATAGGGATAATAATCTCATATGATCTCCTGGGGTTATTGGGACAATGAAATGAGCAGCTGTGATGATAAGGCAGATTCATGATTCTGGAGTGTGGCAGATTGTATTTTCTGAAAATGGCCACAGGAATGTGCTCTCCCAGAACTTTGCCCATACCCCCAACAAGATGCAAAGGGTCCTCTGTGACGGCCTCAATGAGCGGAACATGGTGGAAGTGGTGCTGTGTGACTGGGAAACGACAGTAAAATGGCTCCCTCCCCTTCTAGGAGTCCTGAACCATGCTGTGAAAAGTCTAGTTACCCTGTAGGTGTGATACCAGAGAGACTGTGTGGACAGAAAGACAGTGAGGGAGGGGAAAAGCCCCTGCTGTTTGAGTGTTTTCAGCTCAGACACCAGACATATGAGTGAGGAAGCCTTCAGGTGATACAAGCCCCAGCCACTGTCTAACTGCAACTGAGTGAGAGATTCCAAGCAAAAACCGCCTAGCTAAGCCCAGCCAACCCCCAGACCACATGCATAATAATAAAATGTTGTTGTTGTTGTTTTAAGCCATTACATTTTGAGGTAATTTGTTACATGACAATAGATAATGTGGTATTTTACAAAGATAAATATATTAATAGCTGGGGTGAAAACTATTAGATTTTTTAATAGAAATATTACTTTATATTTTAACAACTTTTATAATTTATAAAATTATTTTATATACATTTGTTGTATTTCTTCCTTTCTGTCATTTGGGTTATATTCTCTAGGTTCTTTTATTAAAATTAAAATAGTTTCTACTATGTTAATTTAAACCCATAAGCTAAAGAGGATGGTGTATTAAATTTCCCTCCTAGAGAATAGCCATCTCTCTTGGGAAACATGCACAGGGTCATGGAACTATACTGCAAATAGCTTTTTTTTTTTTTTTTTTTTGAGACAGAGTCTCACTGTGTTGCCCGGGCTAGAGTGCTGTGGCGTCATCCTAGCTCACAGCAACCTCAAACTCCTGGGCTCAAGCAATCCTTCTGCCTCAGCCTCCCGCGTAGCTGGGACTACAGGCATGTGCCACCATGCCCGGCTAATTTTTTCTATATATTTTTAGTTGTCCGATTAATTTCTTTCTATTTTTGGTAGAGACGGGGGTCTCGCTCTTGCTCAGGCTGGTCTCGAACTCCTGAGCTCAAACAATCCGCCCGCCTCGGCCTCCCAGAGTGCTAGGATTACAGGCGTGAGCCACCGCACCTGGCCATGCAAATAGCTTTTTAAAAATGGTCTTATCTGTAACATTTTCTTTTTCTTTATTGTGTTTTTGGAGACAGGGTCTCGCTCTGTCACCCAGGCTCTATCATAGCTCACTGCAGCCTCAGAACTTCTGGGCTCGAGCAATCCTCCTGCCTCAGCCTCCTGAGTAGGTGCATGCCACTAGGCCCTACTAATTTTTAAGTTTTTGTAGACATGGGGTCTCACTATGTTGCCCAGGCTGGACTAGAACACCTGGCCTCAAGTGATCCTCCCTTCTCAGTGTTGGGATTATAGGCATGAGCCACCGTGCCTGGCTTCTTATCTGTAACATTTTCATTAGGTCCATGAACGTTTGAACTGTGCTGCTCTCTCTCCCTCAGTGACACAACCATTCCAGACTTCCCTCACTTTCTCTGCTGCTCCCTTTGTTGTAAGTTCATTGAATACAAGTATTTTCCTATAGCATTTGCGCTTAGGGTTTTCCAGCAGTCAGAGTCCTACAGCAACCAGTTTGATGGGACTAGTAAGGACAGGAATTGTGCCTCCAGAAGATAGTTCCTGGCTTTTGCTGACAGTAACCTCTGGGGCCTCCATATAAGGAGTTAGGTGTCACCCAGAGAGAGGGTGGTCATGCAGCCCTCACCCTCTGCATCTCTTGGCCCCCTTCCTCTGTGATGCTCTTTCAGCACAGCCCACATGTCAGTTCCTTGGTGTGGCAAAAAATTGCTAGTTCCTTGCCCAATATCCATTCTCTTTCTTCCTTAGTAACAGAACTCCAGGCAGTGTGCCTACCTGGAAACTGAAATTTCCTAACCTCCCTTGCATGTGGGGATGGTTGATGAGATATAAGATCAAGTCAATGGGAAATCTCTTTAAAGGGGCTTATCCTTTTGTTCTTCCCTCATTTCTATTCCTGATAATTGCCTAGAATGTGGTTGATGGCTGGAGCCCTAGCAGCCATTTTGTGACCACAGGAGTGGGTGT